AAAAAAGTTCAATCGCCATATTGTTCCGACCAAAGTGACTTGAACGCACCTGACGTCGTTATTACGATTTGTCAACTCGTAAGTACGAACGTCCCAGGAGGACTTGAATAGTAACTAAGGCTATGTGTGCTGACAAACAATATAAAAACAGACGTCACATAGGGCTAAATGCATAGCATTTTAGTAAAACTGCTAACTTTACAGCAGCGGGGAAGATGAACATGCATGAGTTATTTTATTTAATAGTTATTTGAATGTTTTTTTACCTAAAACATAGAGACTCTGATGTTAATGTGTCTGCATTCGAGCATTTCAGTGGGCTTAAACAGATCACCCTTTACAGCAGATTTAGTTCACAAACAACTGACAGCTTTGAGCTCAATATGATTTTCAATTACAATAATTAATCCTAAAATTTCACAAGATCTCCCGGTTCTTACTTGTGAATTCAGCTCACTGGAGACTCGCACTAAACGGATCATTTGAATCAGTAAGTTGTCGACTCGAGAACAGCTGCAATCGGATCCTTCTAATTCGTGAATGAATTGTTTGGTGCGATCTGCGAACCGATTTAACGGGTTCATTGAAAAGAATCAGTTCGTTCATGAATCAGACACCGCTTCTGCGTCTCGGAGCGTGTGATATATTATTAGGAGTAACGATAAGTTTTATGAAATGTAGTGAAGTAAAAAGTACGATCTTATGCCTTGGAATGTCGTGAAGTAAAAGTAAAAGTTACTCGAAATAAAACTACTCCAGTAAAGTAGATACTTGAAAAATGTACTTAAGTACAGTAACGAAGTAAAACTACTTAGTCACTGTTCACCACTGGTCAAGCGGCCCCAACTAAGCAAACCAAAGGAAACAGTGGCAAGGAACCAAAACTCCATTGCTAACAGAAATGGAGAAAAAACCTTGGGAGAAACCATGCTCAGTCGGGTGCCAGACGAAACCAGCATGGCGTGTCTGTTTCATTACTGTGAACAGTAAGCTTACACGCTGTCTACTCACCATATCCTGTGACTCTTCCAAGGAGGGTGCAGGACTACAGCTCCCCTTTTTCTGGTGTTGGGTAAAACCATGACAACTAGTAGGGGAGGGAACTTAACTTTTGGTGATATGGAAATGAAGAGATGTTGTATGGTGTTGGGTATACATGTATTTTGTTTTATTTGGAGAATTATATTGTTGTGTATATTCCTTTTTTTTAAAGTTAAATGGTCATATCATATGTTAAAGAATTTAAAGATGTTTTGAGTAAATGTGCCTATAGTGTCTATTGTTAATGTCCCTGCAGTTGGTGTGGTCTGGTTTGTAATGAGCCTGTGCTAGGTTATATAAGCCAGTCTGAACCTTGGGGAGCAAAATATGGGGGCATACCGCTGAAAGAAAGTTAAGAAACTGAGTAAAGTTTGCTGCTTGTAGCAATATATTTTTCATGTATATGTGCCACTTACAGACTGTCACCAAAACTGTGTTCAAAGAGCAAAATAATCAAAAACAGGGTGGGAATCTTCCAGAAAATCATGTAGATACACAGTAAATCCATAGTTTAATGCCACCTAATATAAAGTGTGGACCATGGTTTTTGACTAAAACAATTAGTTTGTGCAGATAAATCCATGTAAATGTGCCACTTGCAGACTGTCAAAACTGTGTTCAAAGAGCAAAATAACCAAAAACAGGCTGTTTTACTCTTACAGGACATTTACACTTTTAGTGGCACCAATACACCAAACTTATTAGCAGTAAATGTGGGAATTTCCCAGAACAACATGTAGTTAGAAAATTCATAGTTTAATGTTGGTATCTAATTTGATGTAGCGTCTGGACCACTCAAACACACAATATATATTTTGTTAGCTAGATTTAACAAATACTCTGTAACGCCGAACAGGCCCCTGGTTCCATAGCAACTCTGACACCAGATACATTTACGATCAAAAGGAATGTGAGCAGAGAGGCTCTCACTGCATTTTCCAGAGCACGAGGCACAATGCACAGTAGAAATTTACTTTTCTACTAAGTAATTTATAGGAAAACCTTTCTTTGAATGAACAGTGTATCCTTCAGGTCATTGTGTACTGTATATTATTGTCATCGTGTATTTTTTTCTTTGAGAGTGTATACTGTTATGCAGGCTTATGATCGAAACACTCACTCCTGTCAGCTTACATACAGTATATATAACCCTACCATGTTTAGTATCTATGAATTCGTATTCGGATGATCTAATTGAGAGTGTATATTGTATGTTTACACCTACGCAACATATTAGTGTTCTAAGAGTCTTTAGTAATTTTGATCCAAGTTTCATATGCAAATTACCATGCTTTCAAACAAAGGGCCATAAAAACGCCCCAGTATCTCAGAACTCCCACTTGGGATTCCGGACTTTCTCATTGGACAAGCCCATCTTGAGAGGTGGGAATCTTCTCCGACCTTAAAGGCCCACACCAGGGACCCTCTTGGAGTCGGTGGTTTGTTGAAATTCTGAGAGGATGTGAGAAAAACGCACTCCAGGACATCCTAAGTTTTGTGCCAGGCCTTCGGCCTCGACCTTTCCATTTCACCAAGATTCTCTGACTCAAACTGGTTCTTTTTCTTCAACCAACTTCAGCAAAGATCTTGGGCCTTAAGATTGCATCAGGAATCT